TTTATTCTTTTCCCTGAACTCTTGTGAAGAACGTTGTTCTTTTTTCCTTTTCTTCTGTGTTTAGTACTTTCTTAAGTGTTTCATGTAGAGATGGTTTTGTGGCTGCATAAGTTCTTAGGGATTGGATATCTGGGAAAGATTTTAATTCTCCCTCACTGATGAAGCTTAGCTTGGCTGGGTAGGTTATTCTTGGTTGAAATTGTTTATCCTTTAGGACTTTGAAGATAGGGCTCCAAGCTCTCCTAGCCTGCAGGGTTTCTGCAGATAAATCTGCTGCTATTCTGATTGGTCTTCCATGGTGGGTGATCTGGCCTTTTTCTCTTGCTGCCTTTAGGATTTTTTCTTTTGTGCCTACTTTATTTAGGCGAATTATTATGTGTCTAGGAGTTGGTCTTCTCATTTGTTGTCTTGCGGGGGTTCTCTGAATCTCTTGTGTTTGAATTTTTGTATCACTGATTAGATGAGGGAAATTTTCTTGAATGATCTCGTGGAAAGTTTGTTCCAATGTGGTCTCTGTTTCTCTTTCTACCTCAGGGAGTCCGATTATTCTTAGGTTAGGCCTCTTGAGGTAGTCACTCATCTCTTGAAGGTTTTGTTCTGTCTTTTTTAGCTTATTTTCTGTGTTTTTAAGAGTTTGGGTTATTTCTATATTTTGGTCCTCAAGCTCTGAGATTCTTTCTTCTGCTTGGGTAATTCTGCTTTCCATGCTTATCAATTTGTTATTTATTTCATTCACAGTATTCTTTATTACTGTTATCTCAGATATCAGCTCCTTCCTAGTTTCTTCTTGTGTCTCCTCAATTCTTTTTAGTCTCTCCATTATTGTTTTGATATCTGCATTTGCATTTTGAGACCCTTCATTCTGGGGACTTTTCATTGTTTGTATTCCAAAGTCAATTTTCTCAGTGTCTGCTCTCCCAGGCGTCTGGGAGAGACCCATACTCTTCTTTTGGTTTTTCTTCATTTCTGTAGATTTTTCTCCCTTTACCCCTTTCCCTCCCCCTCTTCAATTCTGTTTTTGAGGGAAGGTGGGGTTGCTTTTATTTCTCTTCTGCAATGACCTGTTCTTCCTTATGAGGGTCTTCTGGTTTTGTTCACTTTTCCCTCTGCTTTACAGTCTGTCTATTCAGCAGTTTGCAGTCTTGGTCCCTGGATTCTGGTGTTTGTTGTACTTTGGATATCTTTTATTTTTGATCCACCATGACCTGGATCACTGCGCCGACCAGGCGGTTCTTCAACCCGAGGCAGAGCGGCAGTTCCTGGCGACCAGCCGGAGGGCTAGACCGGCCTCTCCAGCCGTCCCTGCCCCCTCGCGGCCTCTCGCGGCGGCTCCTCCGGGGCCTGGGGCGCTCTGGAGCTGCGCCGAGAAGCGACGACCCAGGTGGCGGCGGCGGCTCCCGCTTCGGGCCTAGACATCAACAACACACTTCTAAATAGCATATGAATATGCCGGGCTCAGTGGCTCAGCCTGTAATCCTAGCACTTTGGGAGTCTGAGGAGAGTGGACTGCCTGAGCCCGTAGGTTTGAGGCCAACCCCGTGCAACTTGGCAAGACCTCATCTCTACAATAAATAAAAAATTAACTGGGTGTGGTAGCAAGTGCTTGTAGTTCGGCTACTTGGAAGGCTGAGGAGGAAGAATCACCGGAGCCTAACTGGTTGACGCTGGGGTGGCTGTGAGTATGCCACTGCACTCCAGCCTGGGTGACAGAGTGAGACTCCAACTCAATAAATAAATAAACAAACAAATAAATAATATATGAATAAAAGAAATCTCAAAAAAAAAGAAAAATTAAAAATATTTTAAACTAAATCAAAAGACACAACTTAGCAAAATTTAAGTGATGCAGCAAAATCAGTGCTTAGAGGGAACTTTATAGCACTGAACTAATATATTAGAAAACAAGACCTAAAATCAATAATCTAATCTTATGCCTTAGGTAACTAGACAAAGAAGAACAAATTAAATTCAAAGTAAGCGGAATAGAAGAAAGAATAAAAATTGGAGCAGAAATCAATGGAATTGAAAACTGGAAATCAAAAGAGAAAAAGAAACAATAAAAGCAAAAGCTGTTTTTTTTTGACAAGATAAATAAAATTGATAAGCCTCTAGTTAGACTAGTTAGGATAAAATGAGAGAAAATGCAAATTACTAATATCAGAAATGAAAGAGGAGACATCATTACAGATCCTGTAGACATTTAAAGGGATAATAAAGAAATAGCGCAAACAACTCCATGCCCCCAAAATTTGATAAACTAACTGAAAAATCAATTGTTGAAAGACAGAAACTACCAAAACTCAAATATGAAGAAGTGGAAATTCTGAACAGGTCTATTTCTATAAAGAAAATTGAATCAATAATTAAAAACCTTCCCAAACAGAAAGCACCAAGCCCAAATGGGCTCACTGGTGAATTCTGCCAAACATCCTCTTTCAGAAGGTAAAAACAAAAGAAAAACTTTTGTTTTTCTTTACAAAACTTCCTAGCTCATTCTATGAGGCCAGCATCACCCTAATACCAAAATCAGATAAAGACATTACAAGGACACTACAGATCAATATATAACAATCAAAGATACAAAACTCCTCAACAAAATACCAATGAATTGAATCTAACAATACAGTCATGTACCACATAATGATGTTCCAGTCAAGAAGGAACTGCATATATGACAGTGGCCCCATAAGATTATAATGGAGCTAAAAAATTCCTATTGCCTAGTGAAGTCATAGCCATTATAATGTCATAGCACAATGCATTACTCATGTGTTTACAGTGACACTGGTACGAATAAATGTACTGTGTTGCAAGTAGTATAAAAGTATAGCACATATAATTATGTACAGTACACTATAATGATAACAAATGACCACTTTGTTTATATATTTACTATTCAATACTTTAAAATCATTTTTTAATATAACCACTCTAGTTATAAAAAAAAGGTTAACTACAAAACAGCTTCAGGCAGGTCTTTCAGAAAGCATTCCAGAGGAAGGCACTGCCATCACAGGACATGACAGCTTAATGCATTATATTGATGATCCCGACCCCGTGTATGCCTAGGCTAATGTGTGTGTTTATGTTGTAGTTTTTAACAAAAAAATGTTTAAATAATAAAATAAAAATATTTTTAAATAGAAAAAGCTTATAAAATAAAAATATAAAGAAAAATATTTTTGTACAATTATACAATGTACTTGTGTTTTAAGCTATGTCATTACAAAATAATCAAAAAATAAAATAGTTCATAAAGTGAAAAAGTTACAGTAAGCTAAGGTTAATTTATTATTGAAGACAGAAAAGGATTTACTAATAAATTTAGTTTTGTTTATGAAGGCTAAGTAGTGTACAATAATGTCCTAAACCTTCACATTCACTTACCATTCACTCCCCAGAGCAATTTCCAGTCTTACAGATCCACTTATGGAAAGTATCTTATAGAGGCATACCACCTTTAAATCTTTTATACCATATTTTTACTGTACCTTTCCTATGTTGAGATATATATACATGAGGCACTTAGAATGGTACCTTCCAGGGCTGCAGAAAGGAGGAATTAGGGAATTATTGTTTAATGGTTATAGAGTTTCAATTCCACAAGAGAAAATAATTCTGAAGATAAATGGTGATGATTGCTCAATATTATGAAGGTATTTAATATGACCGAATTGCACAATAATTAATATGGTAAATTTTATAATATGTTTATTCTATCACATAAAAATAGAAGAAGGCTGGGTGTAGTGGCTCATGCCCATAATCCCAGGCTGAGGAAATTTGAGATCAGTCTAGGCAACACAGTGAGACCTTGTCCATACAGAAAATAAAAAATTAGCCAAGTGTGGTGGTGCAGGTCTGTAGTCCCAGCTACTTGGGAGGCTGAGGTGGAAAGATCACCTGAGCCCAGGAGGTAGAGGCTGCAGTGAGCCATGATCATGACAAGACATTCCAGCCTGGGTACTAACAGTGATACCCTAACTCAAAAAAAAAAAAAAAAAAAGGAAGGAAAAAAGAATCTATGAATGAGGCAAAAGAACATCTGTCAACTAAATGAATTCTTAAATTGATGTTCAAATATTATCCAATTTTAATTTAAAAAACAAACCACAAAATACCATTCACATCAGCAACCCCAAATATGAAATATCTAGGTATAAATCTAACAAAGTATGAACAAGATATATATGAGGAAAACTACAAAGCTTTGACAAGAGAAATCAAAGACTAACTTAATAAAGAGATATTCCATGTTCATGGATAGGAGCACTAAAAATGTTAAGACGTCTGTTCTTCCCAATCTAATTTATAGAGCCAATGCAATCCCAGCAATCTATTTCATAGACACAAACAAGCTAATTCTAAAGTTCTGTGGGAAGGCAAAAGACCTAGAACAGTCAACACAATATTAAAGAAGAAGAACAAAGTTGGAGGATTGACACTACCTAACTTCAAAACCTACTATACAGCTACAGTAATCAAGACAGTGCGATTGGTTAAAAAAAAAAAAGGCAAATAGATCAATGGAACAGAATGAAGAGTCCTGAAACAGACTTATATAAATACAGTCAACTGATCTTTGACAAAGGGACAAAGGGAATACAATGGAGAAAAGATAGTCTACTATTCAACAAATGGTGCAACAATCGGACATCCACATAAAAAAAAAAAAATCTAAACACACACCTTACACCTTTCACAAAAAATAACTCAAAATGGACCACAGACCTAAATGTAACATGCAAAACTATAAAACTCTGATAGGATAACATGGGAGAAAATCTAGATGACACTGGGTTTGGTGATACCATTTTAGATACAGCACCAAAGTCTCAATCCATGAAAGATATACAGATGTTCCTATACTTCCAATGGGGTTGCATCCTGAGACCCACTGTTAGGTTGAAAATACTATAAGTCTAAAACACTCAGCCTCATTAATCATCGGGGAAATGCAAATCAAAACTACAGTGAGGTATCACCTCAAACTAGTCAGGATGGCTATCATTAAAACATCAAAAAAACAACAGGTTTTGATGAGGCTGCAGAGAAAAGGCAACACTTCTACACTGTTGGTGAGAATGTAAGCTAGTTTAATCTTTGTGGAAAGCAGTCTGGCATTTTTTCATAGAACTAAAATTTGAGCTACCTTACGATCCAGTAATCCCATTTCTGGGAATATAACCAAAGGAACATAAATTGCTCTACCAAAAAGACACTTACAGATGTATGTTCACTGCAGCACTATTCACAATAGCAAAAACATGGAATCAATCAAGATGTCCACTGAAAGTGGAGTGGATAAAGAAAATGTGATACATATCATTATGGAATACTATGCAGTCATAGTCCACTGCAGAAAATCATGTCCACTGCAGCAACACAAATGCAACTGATTCTAGTTGCACTCTAGAATTTGAAGTGAACTACCCCACAAATAAAAAAAAATAGAATATGGTATGTTCTCTCTCATAAGCAGGCTCTAAACATTAGACGTGAACACAAAGGCAGGAACAACTGACGCTCTCCACTGCTAATGGAGGGAGGGAGAAACAGAGGATAAGAAGCATACAACCACCCATTGGGTACTGTGTCCATTACCAGGGAGGAGAGAGGGCTTGCTAGAAGTCCAAACCTTACCTGCATGCAATTTACTTATTTAGCAAATCCTTATATATACCCCACAACTCTAAAATTTAAAAAAAGAAAGTAAGAAGTACAAGCCACAGAACAGAGAAAATATTAGCAAAGAATGTATTATGTACATTTGTAAGGGCTCGGTATCCAGAATATAAAGAACATTACAATGTATCAATACAAACAAATCAATTTAAAAGTGAGCAAAGGACTTGAATAGACATTTCTCCAAAAAAGATATTAAAACAATCAATAAAAACATAAAAAGGTATGCAGTGTCAATGGTCATTGCAAAAACACAAATCAAAATCAAAGGGAGCTACCACTGCACATTCAGTAGGATACCTATAATTTTAAAAAGACAACAACAAGAAGATGGAGAATTGGAACCTTTTTGCACTGTTGGTGGGAGTGTAAAATGGAACAGCTGCATTAAAAACAGTTTGGAAATTCCACAAACTGTTAAACAAAGAATTACCATATGACCAAGTAGTTCCACTCCAAGGTATATACCTGTGAGAATATGTTTACACAGAAACTTGTACACCAGAAAGCACTATTCATAATAGCTGAATAGTGGAAACAACTCAAATATCTATCAATTGATAAATTAATAAAGATGTGGCATAGCTATACAATGGAATATTATTCAGCCATAAAAAGAATGAAATACTGACTATGCTACAGTATTCTAAGTGAAAGAGGTCATTCACAAAAGACCATGTTATATGATTCTATTTACATGAAATATCTAGAATAGAAAAATCC